CAGGAGGAAGTTTAGCAGCCAGCCTTTTTTTGAAAAATCACAACTTTTGGAGTACTGCAAATCGAAGTGTGAGACACTGTTTACGCATAAACAACGATTGAAACACCAGATCCCTGCCTGATTTCCATATGTACGGCTGGGTGGATTCATTTATTTAGGCATTAAAACCAAAACACCTCTCCAAACCCGGGTTAGCATTTTCCTTTATAACTACCCTGCATCTGTGGTTGCAGAATCTATGCATTTCTTTAAATCAGTGTTAGCGAAATGTTTCTAAATAGCCAGATACTGTGCAATAAGAAATATTCAATTAATATGGGGACAATTTTCATAGTTGTGACACTTTTTTTCCCTCAAAACTTTTCCAAAGCTTATCTTCAGATATGCAGTAGGGATAAATATTTTATTTAATGGAAATGAAGCCTATCTTTTCGTGCAGATGCACCACTTGCCTTTGAGCTTTTTGTGTGCATTTCAGGTTTCCCTTTTCATTTTTTAACTTATTAACTCTGACAAGTCACCTCTTGGTTGTGAACAATTTAATTCACAATTCATTTTTCTGATTCAAAGTGAACACGAGTGCCCTAATCCCCTAATGGGAATTAATTGCATGTTTCAGTACTTAACTCTGATCCTTTCTCAATCCCCATGGGGACAAGTTTCTTCCTGAAGGATCTGTGTTTGTTATTCAAAACACAGTCTGAAAGGTAATGATTTTTTTTATAAAAGGAACTCGAAGCAACCGAATATTAATGCTCTTTTTATTGTGAGGGAATGAGCTGCATCCAAAAACCTCATTTATGTCACGAAGGATAAATGATGCTGGGGTATATCTAATAAAATAGAGAAAAACATCAGTGTGGTCTTTTTTTTTCCCCTAAGTGAAGGCTATTTTGCCAGTAAATAAAGGCATACACCATTTTTGCTTGGAAAACTGTATTCTGTTACAGAGACAAATTGTTCATTTCACCGAGGGGGAAATTGCTCTGCTGCTGGTTAAAAGGCATGATTATTTTAAATGACACTCTTCTCCCCCAGTAATGCACCCTTTTGGATAATCCAGCTGATCTAACAGTTTCCTAAAATAAGAGCAATTAGCTGAGAACTTGTTAATTTTCTACTTCAGCTTTGCTTTGTAAGGCTGTTTTTTTTCCCCAACCGCTCTGGAGGTCCCTTCTCCGCGCCGCCTCCCAGGGAGCCGCGCGGGCTCCTGCCGAAGCGGCACGGGGGAACCGCGACGGTCGCCCGAGAGTGCCCCGGAGAAACGGGAATAGCGTCCGGCCGCTGATGAACCGGCAAACGGGAATAACGGGGCCGGCGCTGCCGGGGTGCTGCTTGGCCAGATACGGCAGGTGGGGCTCTGAAAAACAGGTGCACCCTCCGGGGCAGGGAGATCAGGGCTAAAACGCTGTGGCACCGCTCCAGCAGACTGCCCGAACTGGGCACGGAAGGGCTGGCCGAGCCGGGAATGCAGGAGACTGACATACAGCTTTTACTGCTTTGCTAAACTGAATTGGGATTTTTTTTTAAAAAAAAAATATTTTTTTCCCACGGAGGATGGGCTAATTGGAGCTGTTCCCATCACTGGGTCGGCTCCGTGGGCTGCCTCTGGCTCATGGCAGGGCGCCCGTGAGCACGAGGCGGCGAGAGCCAGGAAGAGCCCTGGCCCTGCTCAGAGCCGATGTTGAGGGAAAGAAAGGGCTAGAATTTCATTATGGCAAAGCATTACGAAAATGCCTTTCCCCTCCTGTCTCCTACGAGCCTTTTTCAGTCATTGCTTTGAGGAGAAGCTCAAGTTCGGCGCGGCCGTTGCGCGGGCCTGGCGGTGCGTGACGCGTGTCCCCTTTGTGCCGCAGGTGCCATGGCTCGTGTCTTCGTGTACGGCACCCTCAAGCAGGGCCAGCCCAACTACGGGCACATGCTCAACACGGCCAAGGGCATCGCCAAGTTCCAGGGCCGGGGCCGCACCGTGGAGAGGTACCCGCTGGTGATTGCCGGCAAGTACAACATCCCCTACATGCTCAACATGCCCGGCACGGGGCACCGCGTGGCCGGCGAGATCTACGCGGTGGACGAGCAGATGCTGCAGTTCCTTGACGAGTTCGAAGGCTGCCCAGACATGTACCAGCGCACGGCCATGAGCATCGAGGTGCTCGAGTGGGAGGGCAAGAGCGGGCGCAGCGTCATGGAGTGCTTCGTGTACAACACCAGCACCTACCCGCCCGAGTGGGTCAACCTGCCCTACCTTGACAATTACGACTCCTCGGGGAAACACGGCCTCTCCTACGTGCTGCGGGAGAGACGGGAATAGGCGCCGGGAAGACCGAGCCCGGTGCCTTCTGGTTGGAAACGCGCCCTCCTTTGTCACCTGCCCAAGCAAAGTGTCGAGCCTAATGCTAGAGAGTCGTAGGTTTGTTTGCAGCTGGAGCTCACCCCAACGTGTCAAAATCCCGCTAACCCGACGTGGGTATCCACGTCTGCTGGGCGAGTAGAGTAACCGGCTCTGCGCAGCCGTCTGGGATTAGGATCTTACCCCCCTCTCCCCTGTTTGCCTCAGAAATGACAGGGGCAAATGGAAGGCAGTTGAACTGACTAATTTTTGACCTGAATTGGCAAATCTTTCGCGCGTCTTCCCTGGGTGGGTGGGTGGAGCAATAATCCTATTGCACTAATGGCTAAAACTGATTACAAATCACAGCTGAAAAGAAAGTAAAAGAGACTTCACATTTAATATTGACTCATTAGAGTGTTTATTAGTTAGTTACTGAATGTAGACGGGGCAAGCAAACATCTCTTGAGGAGAAATGACTGCGCAGGTACTATGCGCTTCACAAAAAAATGTGAAATTGCTGTAGAAATAGTGGGGAGAAGAGACTCTATGTTGCAATGTTATTCTGAAGAGATGACAATTTTTAAAACATTTCTAGTTTTGTAAGGTATTTTTTGAAAAAATATTCTTAATATAAGACAGTTTTACATTAAAAATCATATTTTTAATATGGTATCATAGGACTCTAGCTGCCTTTGCAGTTCACTGAGCAGAGAAAAAAAGGGAAAAAAAGAAAAAGGAAAAACAGACCTGATTTAGCTGCCTCCTGCACTACACCCGATGCAGCTGCTGTGAGCACTGACTGGGGTGACTTTTAGCTTCATTTCAGTGCAGAGCTTGCGACCAACCACATGCACACTGAAATATTGAAAAAAAAAGGCGGGGGGGGGGGGCAGTCTTTTGTATGCTTAATACAGATGCTCTGGATATTTTTTTTTATAAAGAATATGGCAATATTTAAAGTAAATTAAAAAAATCTGCAGAAAGAGGACTTCTCTTCCTCAGCAGCAGCTCGGTGCTGCCCAGGGGAGCTCTACCCAAATCTGCAGCAAGAGGCACAACTGCGCCTCGCTTGGAGGGGAAAGAGGCGGGAGGCCAGTTTCCCTGTGGTAAGCCAATTAAACAAATAAAGTAGGACATTTTGCTCATATTTTTTCACCTTACTGTCTAGGTTTAACTTTTTGGGCAAGCTGCAGGGTCTACAGAGTGTTCCCTCATTTTACAGGCAGCCAGACGGCCCTGTGGGAAGTTGTGGTAATTCCTGTCTCAGTTTCTCCCACTGCAAGGGCATTACTTTTCCTGGCACTCAGGTACTCCCCAGACCCCGTCTCCACTCTGATGGATGCTACTGAACAAAGCAGGTGCCCGTACAGCACCGCTCCCGCCTTGGCCACAGGGTTAACAACATGGAAAGGGCCTCTTCAGCCAGCGCTTTGCAGCACAGGGAGCCTCTCTGGTTGCAAAGGAGTCTCCAGCCCTTCTGCACTTCTCCCCTTCACCCTCTGGTGCCTCTGGCTGGAGAGACGATTTTTGTTTTGATTTTTTTTTTCTTTTTCCTAGGAATAAGCATGAACCTGCAGCTTCCAGGTAGGAAAAGGAGAGTGAGCCCCCTCGGCTCCGAGGCCGCATTAAGGGCTGAGAGGGAGGCTGAGTTTGCTGTAGAAACGGGCAGCCAGCTTTAGCAGTGCCTGCCACAGGATCTCAGCAGGATAAAGGGAATAAAATAATTAGGCCACTTACTTACCTGTTCTAACCACATCCCCAGGGATCAGAGCTCAGCGTATCCGGGCAGAGGTGCCTTTAGGTGCTTTAGGTATTAGCTGAAGTACCAGCCATCCCTGGGAAGCCTTTGCCAGGATCAGGCTGGAGAGCCAAGACCCACGAGGAAGAATTCAGTGGGGAATATGGGTTCTTCCCAGTATCTTTTTTCTGTCTGCCAAGAGGAATGTTACGACTCTGGATGAAGACACTGGCACGTGGCAACCGGTGACTGTCTGGGGGATGATTCTGGGCAGACTGAGATTTTTCCCTAGTGGTGCTTCAAAGGGACCAGCTTCACCAGCCCTCCCTTCTGTTCCCGCTCCCTAAGTCCTCCTCTCCAGGGCTGACCTTCCGTACGACACGTGCAGCTTTCCGAGCACGCGCTCGTCAGACTTTACAAACAGCCCTAGTTCCCCGCCGGGGCCGAACTTAGCTCGGAGCGACGCTCTGAGCGCAGCAGACTGCAGGCGCTCCGGTGCTCCTTGCCCGTGGGCTTTCAGGAGCTCCAGGCAGCGGTTCTGAACCATGACAGTGACTCTGACCCGTGCAGGCCTCTGCTGACACCGAGCTGGGAAAGCTGCTCGCGCCCGTCGGCGCTTCCTCCACTTGGCTGGTGTCTCAAACCAACAACATCACCGCGGCTGAAGATCACTCGCATCTGGGGCTTGGTGGTTTTTCTTTTTTTGAAAAAGAGGCTTTTCCTGTTCTAAAGCAGAAATAGTATTTTTATTGATTTTATTTGGTCTGGAAAAATCACAGGAGAATTAAAAAGGTTATGTACAAATATTTGTAGAGTAAAAATCTGGGGTTTGTTGCCAAGGTTTAACATCTGTGTTTGCTGTCTTAACTACTGACACAATAAATATGACCGTATAAAATCCTCTGCTTAGGCCCGTCCATCTTCTGTGCTGTATTGCCTTAATTTAGCCCATCGGCGGGGGAGAAGGCTCACTCGGCTGTGTGAAGGCACCATCTCATTCCAGTTCCACCAGCAGATCTCCCTCTCCAACAGTATCTCCAGCTTTACAGTGCACAGCTTTTACCTACGGCACAGAAACAGGGGGTTTCAATCCATCTTCAATGGCCAAGCACACATTTTGGCTGACGTTGCCCCTCTCCAGTACGATGACCAGCACACGCGGGCTAAACACACGTATCTGCACGTATGGGACCACTGCACAACCCAGGAAGGGGCCTGCAGGACCCCAGGGCAGCATGTTCGGGGCATTCCCAAGGATGGAGATGCTCTGGGATGGCACAAATCGTGCCCAGCTCCATCCCAGTGCAGAGGCATCTGCCGCTTGCCATTTTGTCCCATGATTTTGGTGCTTGAGGGTCAGATTTGAGACACAGCTTTTAAAAGTTACATCCAGAAGTTCCTGCCATTTGCCCTGTTGCTCACTTGCAACTAAAATCTTAAATCTTTTAGAGGACCGTCTGAATACCGAACACTCACACCTCTACTTTTCAAAGGAGTGGCCAATGGAAAAATCACCGTACTCCTTGCACTTTAAATACACATTTTACATTTAAATATACTGTACATTTTATATATGCCAGGCACGTGAGCAGTGAACACTGCACCGGGCTCTCTGGCACAAACACTCATTTTGCCTTGTCAGGAAGCTGAAGCTGGATACTCGGCACAAGCAAACACACAGCTTGAAGCTCTGCTCCCAAGTCAGTGCCTTTGCAGCCCACCCGCTTCCCTAACTCTGAGGCTTCTGGGCTGAAGGTGGCGTGGAAAACGCTCCGTTCTTGCCTTTCTGCACAAGCCAAGGATCAGCAAACACTGCCCCTCACAAGTGCTTTGAGCTCCCCAGTGATTTCTGACAAGCAGCAGCAGCCCCTCGCCCTGACCCCGTCCAGCGGTGCCCGAAGCGCATGGAGCCGCTCGAGCCGCTCTCCGTCTTTCCCTGCTCGTGAAACCCTCTGTGCCGGGGGGAAATTCGAGGCAGATGAAGACTCTTCTCTTACACTCGTGCGCAGGAAGATGGGGTCAGAAGCAGAAAAGGAATTCAGAGGGGGAATGAAAATGGAGCCTCTTCCAGCTGAAAACAAATGACCTGGGATATAAAACAGGGCTTCAAAGCATAAAACCATGGGTCGGCGGCCAGTGCCAAGAATCCCATCCCTGCGGACGAGTCGGGGTTTATTAGCACGGGGAGCCTTAACTCGGCAATGCAGAACGGGCCGACTTCTGTTCCTCAGTGGCTTCATCTCTGCCCACCCCAAAACTATTTTGCTCTTTTAAAATCCTTCACTTTCTAAAGAGTCACATCTGCTTATTACCCAACTGGAGACATCGCGAGGCAAAACGCGAGCCCCCCATCGCCCGGCCTAGGCACCATCCAAAACCTGCTCAGAGGGATTAACAGAAGCCCCATCTAAGGCCAGTGAGGTTGTACGTGGCATTTCTATGGAAGGAATAGGGGGTATTTGTTATTTGGAAAGAGCAAGCAGGACTCAGGGATTGTTCACGGGCTGCAGTTCCCCTTGGTGGGAAAGGCGAGGTTAGGGTAGAAGGGAAGGGGGCTCCGGCATTTTAATTAGGAGTCCCGGCTAGTTAAATGCAGTGAATGCACCGAGCAGCACTAAGGAGGCTAAAAATATGAAGCAACAAGGAAAATACAAGAGTGCTAGTGAATATTAATCGAGAGAAAATAAAGGAATTACTGCACGGAGGGTGCAGAGGGTCAGCTCCCTCTCTCGCTCTCTGAGACTGTTTTTCCTGCAGACCCAGTTTTGTGCTGGATGCCCCGCAAGAGGCAGGCCCCGGGTCGCAGCCTCAGCGACGCTCCCCGGCCTGTGCCAACACTGCCTTCTGGTAAACACACAAACAGTCCCTGGCGTGGAGAGCGCCCCTCGGCTCGCGGCAGCTCTTGCCAAGGACCAGTCTCGTCCCCGACCTGCAAGTCCGGCTCCTCACTGCCTCCCTCCAGGCTGAGGAAAAAAAAAAACACCAAACTTGAATTCGGCAGAACCAGCGGGTTCAGTCCCCAGCCAGCAAAGGGTCGGAACATGCTAGGAAAAGCCTGAGAGAGGAGAATACAGAACCCGTGTGTCTGGCGGGGGACTCCTCACGAGGGACTCCCTGCTCTTCCTTCGGAAAGGAGCAGCTGGCGCCTCCTCGAGGCCATGGTCAGGGCTGGGACCTATAAGCCAAGATCTGGGGCCTGACGACCCCCAAACAGGTGGGACTGGGGGCACGCGCCGGTGAC